CCAAAAATCTTAACGAATTAGAACGTTTTATGGGTGAAGAGTGAGACAAAATTCCGAATAGCCTCTTGTAGAATCGATGCCACGGCGTTGTGATGAGATTATTAAGAAAAATGGTGAACTGAATATCGTATTAACTTTTTTAATAAAATCTACTGCTATTTAGCTTCAAAATAATGCGCAGTACAATTTAATTAATGCGATGATTGTGAAACCAGAACGATTTGAAAAATTATCGTTTTTTTTGCACACCATTGTATCTCTTTGGTCATGTGAAAAAAAATTCCATCAATGGGAAGCACCTTATAAGATCCAGAAGGATAAATTCGAATGGTGTCCAGTTTGTTTCCCCATACCGATGAGAGACGCTGTAGATATATTTTCGAAGATCTGTTAGGTAAGAAATTTCCATCAAGTGCGCCCAAATTCTTAGGAGGGTTGGTTATAATGAACTACAATTAGCGTTCGAATTTAACGGGCCACATCATTATTACCGTAATGATTTGTATCACAGAAAAAATGGGGAGACCGATTTACAATCTCAAAAAAATCGTGATCAAAAAAAGCGAGAATTATGTATGCGACAAGGTATAGATCTTATTGAGATTCCGTACACCTGCGACCTTTTACCCTACATCCGTCACACATTAGCAGAAAAAGGTTATTTACTAAATATAAATATTGGATAATTTTTCTGTCAAATAATATAACATCATTATTTGGCCGTACGGTAGCGAACTGTTCGCTTATTACATTGATGAATGTAAGAACGCAGAGAGGTTTAACGGTCTTAATTGACCCCACAATGGTCTTTCAATTTATTAGTCAGTGGACGAACTAAATCGGGAAAAACAAACATGATTGTCAACCTTTTACTTGGGAATAAAATGTATCGAATGTTTAATGGGAAAAAAGATGGCACACGTTTTATAAAAAATGACGATCTGTGTTGATTGGACATCATCTTAAGGAATCTGAATATCGCTATTTGAGGGATTGTTAACAAATCATTGCCAAGGCCATATCGCGAGAATGTTACGTTCCGATCGATGAAGCTTGATAAAATACCAAAGATTGACGAATTTTCTCCCGAAAGAGGGAGGTGGTTATACAGTCCCGGAAAAAAATACTGGCGGTAGAGTCATCACGCGTTTTTATAACAATAAAAATTACATAATAACAATAAACGCGTTTTTGTTGTGTCTATCTTATTCAGGAAGTGTCGCGCAATATATATATATATATAATTTGTTTTGATTGTCTTGCTTATTAACTTAGCCTTTTATTGTTACAAATGTCAAAATCCCCCGTAATAACCAATCGTCAAATTGTGAAGTGCGTTTGGGACCGTGTTGACACCGTAATGCTGTAGAAATTTCTAAAATACTGGTGTTGTACTTCGATCTTGTGAACGTTATGTCAGTCGTTTGGAAAAATAGACATATTCCAAAAATTCGCAAGTCAGGTCGCCCACGAAAAATTACTCCTGTTATGCGACGTCAACTTGGAAGGATTATTCAAGAAAATTGTTACAAAACTGCGGCGGAAATAAAGGTTGTGTTAAGAAAAAAGCACGCATATTAGGATGTTACTGAGCGAACCGTACGCTTTCTAGGCTTGGATATGCTGTAATTTTGCCCAAGCGGGTTTCTCTTCTAACGCAAAAGGCAAAAGAGATTTGATTAAAGTGGGCACGTGATCACTAGCGCTACAACTGGCGTAATGTAGTGTTTTCTGATGAAACAACTACAGTCGTCCTCTACAGTCACACCTTTGTACAGAACCAACCTATTTTATAGTAAATTTATCTCTATACAGTCCCAATTCGCTTATAGTCCCTATCACAGGACACAGCGGAACCGATAAATAGTAGATACAGTCGACACTCCCTAAATGCACGATATTCTGCGGTCCCAACCTCGGGACTTAGTACTTAAATGCACACTCTATATTCTGCACGTGCAATAGATTTTGACAACCCCACCTGTATGAGAATAATTCTCTAAATGCACACACGTGATAATAATAACGAATTTAGTAAGCAACATCAGTAAAATTATAATTGGTAGGATTTTAACATCAAATAGTTAACATGACCATTAGCTACTGCATGAATTATTATTATCGGAATAGTTATTTTATTTTAATCAGGCCATTTTCAGTTCAAAGATTAAACATAATATATTATACTGTAATACTATAGTTTTGACAACCAAATAATTATTTAAAAGATGGGTTTCGCATAGTATCATCGATTTTAAACTTTGAAATTGTATACAACGCATAACATTGATCAATAAAATTACCATGCTTCCGAGAACAAAAATTACTTTGACAGACGCCCAAAAGTATAAATTTTGTCTGTATGCTCACCGCAATCCAGGAAATCGAATAGAGTATAATTAACTGGATTGAAAACAAATGGAATGTCAGGGTTGGCGAATCTACAGTGTCACGCATTCTTCAGCAAAAGGATAAGTGATTTTCACTGAGGTTAATGCACCAAAAGCAAAAAGACATAGATCAGTCATGTTTCCACAACTTGAACTTAGATCAATATTATAATACGCCGAAAATGTTATCACGTGAATGTGTTACCACTCTGTAAGTGCACCGGCTTGCATTGTTCTCTAAATGCACGGCATCGCACTCTCAGTGTGCATTTAGGGAGTGTCGACTGTATATTAATATGGAAAATTACCTCCTTACAGTCACATCACGTGAAGAAAAATTACGTGATAAAAATATAAAAATAAACGATTGGAGAACGCATTCTTAAAATGTCTATAGCTCTCCAACCAAGAAACTCAAATCACTAATGCTTTACGGCATGAGATTTGCATTTACTCAAACGATAATAGCACGGCCACAAGGTACTGACATTGCATCTTATTTCAATAATAAATATAGTATTAATATTGATCGGTCCACAGTTACAGTAAGCAAGATCTTGTCCACGAAGGATAGATGGATTGATCTTAATCTCGAAAGTCAAGAATGAGTGTTGTCAGGCAGCGTAATGTTAAATTTCCATTCCTAGAAAAGGTTATGAGTTGTTGGGTGGAGCAGACGATAAGGCATGGCATAATTCTTACTGAACTTCTTATTAAGGAGAAAGCTTTATATAAGCACAATGAATTGCATATATCCTGGGATTCCTCCTCTACAGTGACACCCTCCTTACAGTCACAGGTTTCAGGAGAATCGGCGGTGTGACTGTAGAGGGGGACAACTGTATACAATTGTTTCGGAACACATGTCTTGCATGATCTTGTGACAAAACCCCAGTTACGCCTATGGTAAAGCATTTATTAAAAGTTCACGTCTGGGCTGCAATTTCTGTATATGGCAAAATCGGAATGTTCACTTTTGTAGAAAATACGGACCGCCATCTCTACAGGAGAATTCTTAAAATCATTTGTATACTAATGCTGAGCAGGACAATGATCCTAAACATGCATCAAAAGACGTTCAAAATGATCTCAAGGAAGGCACACAATGTATTAATTTTTTCAGTGTATAATATAAACTTACAAGTATTCTAAATATAAAATTTTAGAACAAGTTACTTTGTAGAAATTTTTTATTTCAAAAAAAGTCTAACCCCCATTATTTTTTCCAGGACTGTATTCGAAGATTTATGCAGTGAACCTAAAAAGATACAGGAAAATAATCATCTCTTACTTCACTGAGGGACGCCACTCCAACATAAGTTCAATCTACGTAACCCAAAGTTTTTTCGATTGTCCGAAATTAATAAGAAAAATTTTAGATTATATTGTGCTCTTTAACGGAGCTGGTACGTATGACGAATTGGTTTTGTTATAAAATGCTCATCTACTAATTTTCTGCTAATTTCGTATTTTTGTTCTTTATAATTTAGCCTTAACCAGCTGTTCTTTGAATTTTTTTAGTAAGTTTTTTGCTTCTTGCGAGCATTGTGCTGTAAGCCATTCCGAAACGTTGGCATGTATCGCATAAATCGGTTCTGGGACTCATGCTTTGAATATAAGGTGTTAATTAGTGAACATAACTCGCGAAATGCATAATATTTCAACAATTTAAACGTGCTATCGTTTTCGAGACCTGCAATAAAATTACGATAGACGGATTTGTAACTCGTTTCGGCTGACAATAATGTAGGCAATTGAGTAATACGATTGACATTTCTACTAGTACTTGGTTTCAGCACTCACGGGTTATATCAATGGTTATTTTGGTTTTCCATTGCGGTACTCGTTTGATGTTATCGTAAACGTGTGGTATTTTTTGCCAGCTGATTTCTGATGTTTTCGAAGGGCGTGCGGCCAATTTCTAGCATGTTTTCTGACAAAGAGGCGTACTGCGATCTCAGTATAAAACGTTCGCTATTAGTACGCGTTTTCTTTTTAAGACCATTCATTTTCTCAACTGTGCCCTAAGAAATATACTTGTTTGGAAAACTTGAAACGCCTCACGTAATTCGGCAAACCTTTCTCTCAGAATCATTTTTGAGCAACACATTTACAACCTATCACCAACGAAACGCATTCTTTTTCGTATTCTGTTGAACCGTTATAATTATATACGGACACTTTATACTGTATATATATATATATATATATATATATATATATATTTTATTGTTTTGTAATTTGTTTTCAGTGTTTTATTTAGCATGACAATAGTTACTTGTCTCCATAATATACGCATAGTTCTATATCAGTCAGTCGTTGAAAGACATGCTGTATCAGTATCCAAATTTGGGGGTTTAAAATTATACGGTCTTCCTATATTAAGACGTGCCAATAATTTTATCAAACAGCAAGCACAGGATCAACTCAATTATTCCTGAGCATCTTCGAGAATTGGGTCTTACTGAGTAAACAAGACTCGAAATTCGAAGTTAGATAATCAAAATCATATGATTGAGACACACAATTAGTATTAGCAAAAAATTTTATTTTTAAGACCAAAAATTTTTTATTATGGATAATTTCAAATATTCTTCAACATAATAATGATTATCTAGTTTTCAGTTTCAATGGGGATGTCCAAGTATTGTCATGATCTAAATAATAATCAGTGATTTTTTTTAATAATGATTGATATCGTTTATGGAGGTCCTGAATTAATGACTACAAAAGAATAATGATCAGCTATTACTATAATAAGAGTAAATAAGGATGCTTGAGTATAAATACAGTATTATAATTACCCGCAATGTTAACATTCTTACAGCTGACTTTGTTAGATTCGGTAATGATGTAACTTGTTCTGGAATGTCAAATTCCATTATTGAAAAAACAACAGGGCGCATTTTAACTGGCCAATTAGCAAGGTATACATCAGCTGTTGTTCCTGTAAGATTTATAAGATAAAGTTTAATAAAGATCTTGCATTAACAATCAGATGCAGCTTTACTTACCACAGAATTGAATGCAAAGGATGGGTAAATCTGATATTTCGTATACAATTCTCTCTGGTAAGGAGGTTACTATAAGCTTGAACATTATAGCTATTGCTTCATGCAATTTTGACAAGTCTTTATCCTTTTTTGACAATATTGATGTGGTTGCTGTTTCCACATAAATAAATTCGATTTTTCTATTAAATGACAAGACTCCGTCATATTTTGGTGTTTTTGATAATTTAGTTCCAAGTAATTTTTGTGCTTTACTTGCGACTTCACCACTATTATACAAGAACAAATTAGTTAAATATGACAGGAGATAACACAACAGCTTTATTTGAACATACCACCAGAGAATACAATCATTGAGTGAAGCTAAGCAATCATCAAAGAATGGTGCAACAATGTTGCTGTTGTACCATCCTTCTTGTAATTCAGAACTATCCAGATTTAATATACCCTTGTCCTGGAAAAGAAAAAAACTGAATGCAAGATAAATAAACGTTTTACAAAAATATAAAAACACATGCTGTATTTAATACTTACAATTTCTCAAACAAATGACGCAAATATACCATATCTCTGTTAGGATTTTCGTAATTAATGGTGATATTTGAAAGAGCTTTTCCAAGTTCCAATAATGATGTCTAAATATATTAATTATAAGCAATAATAAATAATAATATCAAACTATTCTTTATGTTTAATATTAAGTCAATACATACAACATTTAAACACTTCAAAGTTTCCAAAGCTTTTTCTGACACAGCTCTTCGTGGTTTATTATTATACTTCCTCATTTCTGTTTCAAAATAAACCTTTACAGATTGCCCCAAGACATCCATGATTCTATTATCATTTAGGTCAACAATACCATAACTTAATGATGATTTCTTCTTTGCTCTCTTTTCTTTCTCACATAGGCCCATTAATTTTTCTTCAATATCTATTTCACAAATAATTGCATCAAACTGCCAGGGAGACCAAATCATATCCATGTATTCATTATTAGTTATGAATCGTGGTTGTTTATGATTCTGAGATGAAGAGGGAGGAGAAGGAGTCATAGGAGTATTTGGTGTTAAGTGGGGCTCAACTTCATTACTTGAATCATTTGAAACATAACAACTGTGAGGAGTTGTAGGAATTGTAGATGTTAGGGGAGACTCCACATCAATAATTTCTGAATTGTTCTTTGACAAATTCAAGTTTGCAAGTGTATTGGTGGCCTAAATAATGGAATTAAAGAATCAGGTCAGGCTTTAGTTTGGTTACAATATGATATAATAATAACAT